TCCATCTCCAGGCGCTTGACCTGTGCCTGGAGATCCCGAATCTGCTGTTGCTCCTCGGTCATCTTGCCGTTACCACGAAACGCCTGGCCTTCATCATCCTGCGCTTCCTTTATCCAACGGCCCAGCATGTTGGGGTTGATGTCCAAACTCCGAGCTGCCTGCGCTCGGCTGTAGCCCTGCTCGGTCACCAGACTGACCGCATCAAGCTTGAACTCCTGCGAATACTTTTTGCGTGCTGCCATTGATCCTGTCCTCGGTTAGCTGCATTATCGCTTAACCTCGTGTACCAAATCATTGGACCACGTCAAATTGACTGTTTTGCGGAACAAGGCTACCTGTACGATATAACGCCATCAACATGGCCGCAGCAGAGAGCGCCTCATAGTTTTCCTTAGTTGCTGCAATCTTTAGTGCCTCGATACCTTTAGCTGTATTGCCCGGTACATTCGAAGCACCGATATACGCAGCCCCCAAAAAGAAGTGTCCGACCTCACTTCCTTGTTCAATTGATTCAGAGAACCACTTAATGGCTTCGGTGGGGCTCTTAGAGACTCCTTTGCCACGCGAGTAACGCAACCCTAAGGCTACTTGCGACCTCGAGTCGCCACTTTCAGCGCACTTAATGAGATCAGGAAGAGTTTCTTTTTCAGGTTCATTACATGTCGTTCCCGCAATCGAAGTACCGGTAACAATAACTAGAACTGCTATTGAAGAGATGATGTTCCTTACCCAATCCATGGCAATCGAAGTCCTACTATTCGCGAGTCTAAAAAAGTACGGAAAGTTACGCCGAAATCAAGCAACCACTGGCACGGCTGATAGGCTACAGAATTCTTATGGAAAAATAGGGGTAGCGATCTGACAAACTGGTGACAGTCTTGCTTGCGTCTGTCAGCGAACAGAATCTTAGTAATGTGTTCAGTTCACGATTAGATTTATGGCACTTTCTGACATAGCATGAAAGCCAATAGTCATCCAATACATTTTTTTATGGCGGATTGACTTATCGATTTCTTTCTAGCATCGGAAGTATCTGTAAATATTCTGAGCAATGGAGCTTCATCAATTGCTGATATTTTTGTTCTGATCTCACTTATCATGCACTCACATCTCGCTTGACTATTAAAACGCGAAATGCACTGCTTTAATCCGCGTTCCATTTCTGCATTTATCCTGGAATTTCCTATAAAGAGAAATAGTCCCAGTACTAAAACTAATCCAATCACGCCTCCGATCCTCTGAGCACTTTTGTCACTCTTTGGGGAACTTACAAGAATCTCTTTTGACGGCGGAGTAGCTAAGGTCTCTACCTGCTCTTCTTCCTGTCTTTTATTTGCAAGGCTATCGTCAAGGCTTTCGTTCGACGTAAAATTCGAGATGATGCTTTGAAATTCTTCTTGAGAAATTTCTCCCCTTGCTAATCGCTCTTCTGCTATTGCCCGTGCCTTCGACACACGTAACTCCATAATCGTGAACAGTTTCGTAAGGAAGTGTTCACCTTTTTGACCGCATTAGCAAATCTGCGATCCCCAAAATTGGGGCTTTGCGGGGGTTGACCCCTGCCAAAGATGCGCTAGAGTGAACAGATGACTAGCGAACTGTTCACTATTGAGGGAAACCGCAAATATTTGACCGCCGAAGAGCAGGCCTGGTTTATCGCCGTGCCAACGCCCAGGAGCGTGCCGAGGTGCGGACTTTCTGCCTCACCCTTGCTTATACGGGGTGCAGAATTTCAGAGGCGCTCGCGCTTCATCCTGCCCGCATCGACTTATCAGCCAAAGAAATCACCTTTAGAACCCTGAAACAGCGCGACAAGATCAAGTTTCGGTCTGTTCCCTGCCCTGATGCCTTGCTCGATGCCATCGAACTGGTGCACAGCGTCAGGAAAGCTCGAAGAGGAAAAAAGTTGAAAGACTTGCCACTATGGTCATGGGGAAGAACCCAAGCCACCAAACACGTTTGGGCGGTCATGGCCGAGGCTGATATTGAAGGCGATCATGCCACCCCCAAAGGCTTGCGCCACGGTTTTGGCGTTCGCATGGCCATGTAAACCCGAAACCCTCGCTTAGTGCAAAAATTGCTTGGACACACCAATCTAGAAACAACGGTCATCTATATGGATTTAGTCGGCGATGAAGCTCGCGCCGAAGTCGTCGGGGCTTGGTAGGAGTAACAATTGAATAATGATGATCTTGACGTTGAAGCCCAAGCAAATAAGGGAGGCCTTTCCTTAAAAGCAAAAGGCGCGGGGTTGTTTGTGCTGATAGCCATCTGCTTGATTGGCATTGTATTGCTGGGGTTGAAAATGGCGGAAATTGAAAAGGGTTATGTTCTTATGGTCCCTATTTTGTTTCTTGTTTACATCACCCACAGCCTCATCGCCACGATAGACGCTGTTCTTGGTTTAACCGTTAGGGTGCGGGATGGGTTTGTCAGGTTAGAGATCGTTGATCATAATAATTCAACTGGCCCCTACGCCAGTCACACGACGCTGGCGCAGAGGACATGCCATTCCGAAAATCGCCTCGTCATCAAGATTCGATGATTGGATGCGGTGATTAGGTGGCGGCCCTGACGAAATTGATTTGAGATTGCCGAGAACGTGGAAAGAAATCGCTGCGCTTCTGACGCTGATCGAAATCGACAGCGTCGCCGTTCACGCTCCCGGGTTGGTTTGTGCGAGTTCTCAGCGCGGGTGTCTCGCTTACTTTGCACCAAAACATCAATCACCTGGCCTTCTTGATCAACAGCTCGCCACTGGTATTGAAATCG